CATAGCAGGGTGAAGAGTGGAATGGGGTAGTGGAGCACTGGGGTGGACTGCGTAGGAAGGTTGTGTGACCTTCGCTGTTGTTCTTAAAAACGGGCCAAACAAAAAGGTTTAGTACTTTAACAGTGGTTGATCCTGCCTTGGCAGAGGCATGGTCTTGACAATCTCCTTCAGCCATATTTTCTGTGATATTTCCTTTCAGGTAAACTTCAGCCATATTTTCTGTGATTCTGTAAAAGTATAGAATTGTTATTATTATTTCTGCTACTACCATTTGAGGAGGGACACTTCTCAGAGATCAGAATCTGATGGTGCCTGGTGCTGTACCTGTATGTGAGAGAAAGATGGTCTTGCCCTCAGAGACCTTACAAATATGAGTCAAGAAGCAACGACTAGTATGGACAGCTGAGGGAATACAGAAAGGAGCAATGAGATGCTATTGATCAGCAGGATAGGCAGTACTCATAATACATCAGCAGCCTAACTGCTGTCAGATTTTTGCAGGCATCATGGCTAAGGAGAATTTGAAGGAGGATAATGAGGAAGCTTTGCAAATGAAATCTCCAGGCTCCCACCACCTCTGCTCCAGAGCTGGGCAGCAGCAGGATAATGGTTTACCTCCCACTTCTGACTGTTCTTGTGTCCCTGCCTGCCACTGCCCACTCTCACTGAGGGCACAGGTTGCAAACTTGTGTCTAGCCTGTATTGTACAGGATGGCAGGAGACACAGCCAGGAAAAGGCCTGGCCCTCTATCCCACATGCTGTGGGATCTCTTCCAGTGACAAGAAGTAAAGTTGATGAGTCTGTATTGAGACAGTGAAGTGACCCCCGTGCTGCTCCACATAATTAATAAATAAAGCACTGGGGGAGTTTTTGCCATGCCGGCTGCTATGACAGGGCTGTCTACGGTGCACTTAAGCATTAAATGACCAATTTCTGTCAGACTAACTTCCCAAGCCTCTCTCTCTCTCTCTCACACACACACACAAAGCTAGCTTCCTCGCTCCCTGCACTTGGAGTTTTTCAGCAACTGATGGCTCCTGGTTCATTTCTGTGGAATTAATTGGTCCCTGAATGAATTCTGTTGACAGGGCAATTTATCATGTGTTTGGGTTGACAGTGTTGGATACCGGTAAAGGGGGGGAGTGGTGTGTGAGTGGGATGAGGGAGATGGACAGGATGGGGGTGGATGGGAGGATGAAGAAGAGGAGGAGTAGAAGAAAGGGGAGGTGGAAGAGGAGATGTTTAAAAAATTAAAAAGAAAGAGAGAGGAAAAAATTTGTTCCTCTCTGGCACCCTCCATTACAGCTCAGTGCAATGGATAATTCACAAGAACGATTGGGAGAGGAAGGGAAGAGGAAGGGAGTGCCACTCGTCTCATGACAGGAGTCACGATGCCGCTTTTCCGCAATTTGCACCATGGCTTGGGAGGAAAAAAAAAAAAGAAAGAAAAAACCCCAACAGTAAAAGCTCATCGTTGTTATATGGTGTCTCTGGGGCTCAGCCAGGAGCCTCCACCTGTAATGCCTACATCTCTATTTCTCCCTCATACCGAAGTGAGTGGGAAGCTAGGGACATGTCTGGTTAATCCTCAAAATGCTGATATGTGCCCAAATACTGTTTCAGTAGGCATGAGTGCAAATGCCTCTCATGATGCATTGGTTCTGTCTTCTAGCTTAGGCCATCCAAGGAGGAATCACATCTTGCAAAGCAAATTCCATAGTCTGGGTTCCCCGTTTCCCTTCAGTATGGATCAGAAAGGGGTGCCTGGTCCCATATATGCCACTGACAATCCCAGGTTACATCATTTCACATCGTCCAAGATTGGGACAAGGAGGGACTTCCCAATATAATTAAAATTACATCCTAATTACATTGTCATTAAAATGTCATGTCTGCAGCATATTGATTCAGTTTCTAGTCAGAGCAATGTAGATGATCGTTTTAGTCCTTCTGACTTTACATCTTCTGAACGTGTAAGTGTGGGTATGTGTGCGCACACATGTACTACAGCATGGATGTTAACACCAACCAAAGACAGAAAAAAATTCAATTTGAATGAAACAAAAGTATTTTAATAAATATTAAATAGATTTTTTAAACAATGTCTTTTCTAGGAATCTTTGAGTGTCCTAAAGAGACGTACTAAAGACTTAATCAGAGGGAGGTTGGTCTGTGAAGTGTTGGTTGCATGCATGTGGAGAGGACAGGCTTCATTAGTGTCATCTTCACGTATGTCTCCTCCCCCAGACTTCCCTGCGCTGTGAGTGGGATGTTCCAAAATACTCAGTGCTGAGGTCAGTGGAAGAGTCACCAGTGGCTTTCCTGCTCATCTCACTGAGAGCAGCATTAAGTCAGAGCTCAGCATTTCTGAAATGGCCATCCAGAGCCTTGAGCTACAGGCTAATGGGACCTGCCTTTGTTTCTCAGAGCACTGTGGCTCAGTTTACCAGCATTCAGTCATCATCTCTGCATTGGGACTAAAGGTTTAATCAGTCCACCGTACAGAAAGAGTGCCCATATCATAAACAGCCTGGAAATGAAACTGAATTTGAGTGGCAAGCCCAGAACTAGGGGTGATTATTTTGTTCAGTCAGATATAATGCAAATGCAAATATAATTTTCATCTCAAAAAAGGTTCAACTGAGCATCAAGGAGACAGACTGCTTGTTTATGGTTGTATACATGCTTGGTTTTACCCTTGGTTCAGTCAAGCCTCTAGCCTCCATCCTGCTTGTGAACATATGAGCATCAGATCTTCTAGAGTGCTAAAATGGAGCAGGTAGGGTTGGGAGATGTAGGAAGCCAGCAGCTGTCACAGTAAAACTGCGGAGGATTTAAGAGTCTTTTTGTAGGGCCCCCAAGTTTTCTGCCAGTTAGAAAGCCAGTTCAAGTTACTGCAGTAAGAGCAAGTGTACAGGAAAGAACAGCCTTGCAAAGGCATGCTGGGTAGAGGGAAGATTTATTTTCAAGCACTCTTATTTTCCTTCTCTTGGTATGATCACTTCAAGGAAATGGTGCAGACAGCTCCTTCTAAAGGCCTTTGTAACAGGTTTTCATTGTATTTAATTACTCAGGTAAATACAGCTGAGATTCATCTGTAGTGAAGCATATCAAACCTGGAAATACTCATCATTAGAGATGACCATATCCAAAATAGCAATTGTGTCTTGAGATAGTGAGTTGAAGAAGAAAACACATGAGTGTAGCAATTTTTTATGTGGGATTCTGAAGTGTAACTTTACACTGTTTGGGGTGGGGACCCGCTCTCTGTTGTAGTGTAAGACAACAAACAAAAATACTGGAGGAACTGACATACACAAATTGGCAATGGTGGCAATAATAACTGAGAAGTGATTTGTCTGCACAGAAGTCATGCAAACAGAGCTTAATCAGAAAACTTGTGAGATGTATGTGGTGCTTGGAAAGGACTGGTCTGAACTGGGCAAACCTGGTGGGTTACAGTCCCAGAGAACAGAAACATTGTTGATTGATAATGAGAAAGTGCTTGTATAGGAATTGAGTGTGTTTTTATTAAGAGGGACTTCACACAGAGATATAAAACGTAAACTCAGGTTATTTATAAATGGGTTTTTTTCTCATTAAAAATAAGATTTGTAGTATTACAGTTTATAAATATGAACCAAAACGAAGAAAATACAGTTTAGTAGCAAGGGCTCTGCAAGATAAGTACAATATCTGAGAAGCTCTAGCAGCTACAAGTTGATACCAGGTAAATTCAACCAGAAATAATGTGCGTATTTCCAACAGTGTAGGTAATCAGCTGTCAAAATACTATAGTTAGGGTTCAATGTACTTTCCAGCACTTGAACCTTTATACTTGGTAGCAAATGCTCCTCAGAAACAGATTCCCTTAGCTCAGCTTCAGCTATTGGACCCGCAGCAGGAATTAATTCAAAGCAGCCCTATGGTTTCTCGTATCAGAGACCAGACAAGATGATCACAGTGCAGTAGGAGTCTCCTCTGGGGTAGCTGTGGCAATGAACTTGAAAACAGCTATCTTAAAAGTCAATGCCTGATTCCAGTTTCGCTTGCGCACTGTTTACACGAATGTAACTCTTTCGACTTCAGAGGTCTGATTGACAGTGGTGGATACAGAAGGCAAATCAAGCTTCTGAGAAAAATGGTTATGATCAGGCTGTCCTGAGCCAGTGAGGTGAACATGACATAGGACACATTAAAGGAATAAATGGGCATATTTTCACTTATAACACTGAAGGTTTGAGACAGAAACACAAACATTTTTATATAAAAAAATTATCCCTGAAAAGAGACAGTAAAACCTGAAACAATGCAAATCTTTCTGTATTGTGAAGTACAGATGAAAAAACTCCTGTGATTGAAGAGACAATGATTCAAAACTGAACTCTGCATAAAACAGTGGACACAAAATGAACCAAAATAAGCTCAAAGAAGGTTCCATTTAGAACTAAAGAGGATATAATAGGTAGGTAGCTAAGGTGGCAAGACAAATGACTTGGAATTATTCAATATGCAGCTCCTGCAGCAGGCTCCATGATTACAAATGTAAACTAGAGTTGCAGGCTGAGTTTCCTCACTTTTAATGCTCAGTCTGTGGATATAGGAGTATCGGATTTGTAAGACTGGGCCAGGCTTGTGTTTTGACTGGTTGACCATCTCTAGCAGTAGTCTCAACAGATTCTTAAGAGGAAAGTGGAACTGTGCAGAGGGCAGACACAGGAACCATCTGCAGTTTGTTGTGAGCTCAAGTAATCTGCAGGTTGGCTGAATCCCGGAAATGTTCATAGCTTTCTAGAGTGCCTGTTGAATGCTCATAACCCTGGATTATTTTCTGCCTATAAAACTGTCCTGTCTTTTCTGGTATCACGGTGATTCCTTTGGTTACAAGTTCAGTTGGTCAAAATACAAACTGTTGGGGAAAAATTTTAATCAGCTTTGAATTTGCTGCTTTGTAATCTAATCAATTGTCATCTTTTTCTTGTGTTCTTGTGACCTGCAGAATCTGGTTCTGCTAAGGAAGCCTCTGGCTTGTCTTCTGGGGAGTGTTCAGGAATCATTTTGATGAATTCCAATTAAGAGTCTTTTTGACACCAGGGGATGCAAAGGTCAAAGGATGCCCTGAGCAGCACATAACAGACTACATGGAGCACAGATAAAGGTAAGACAATGGCACAATTGTAAAATTGAACAGAAAATTCCTGAAGACATGAATAGCATTTGAATTTGGAAGGATCTTGGAGTGAATGGTGCAGCTAAGATTTCTGCCTGGAGCCCTGCAACGCTATTTAAAGACCCTTGTATACTTGGTGAAGAAAGTAATAACAATGTTATGTCTCATTATGTAGTGATTAATCTGGAACAGAAGTTTACAGAAAGTTGTAGACAATCTCATTAGAAACAAGAGTTTTTGTAGTCATGTGAGACTTGTAAGGAAGAATTAGTGTGGTTGCTTGAAGATAAGAGATCTCTGAGTGCCTTCTGGCATGCTTGTGATTCAAGCAGGAGACCTCAGTAAATTGCTAGACATGGCAGTGGTCTGCATAGCAATTTGTCGTTAACTAACTTTGTTTATGGCTAGTTAAAAGAAATTCAGGGGACTAACCTCACAGCCAAGTGGATACTCAGTCATGAACAGAACTGACAGATTCTCACTGACATTTGTAGAGTCGGTCTCTGTCTTTAGCACAGCACAAGTAACGTAATACCAGTACTGCAGCATTAACTGAGCTTTATAGCAACTCTCCTATGAGTCTGAGGGAGTTACCCTCAATGTAGGCAAACATCCCGAGAAAAGATAGTCACTTTGGTCAGAAAGGTAAAATCTCATTGCTCAAGTTGAGAACCATAGCTGATTGCATATACAGGTTGGTTGCTATCAATATCATGTGTTTTCAAACACTGGAGGCATGCCTGAATTCACAGCAGAAACTTCTGTGAGTAGCAGTCTGCTACTTTGACAGCCCAGAGAGTAGCATAAAGGGGCTCTTTTGCACTGTGTTTATTCAAGGCACACGAAATCCTCCATGGAGGAAGTATGGCTAGTGCTTTTGCTTTTAAACTGTTTCCATCTCTTCTTCTAATGACCATTTTCTCCTCTCTTTGGCTTCTTCAGTCTGGGCTGTATCTTAGGTGACTTGTTTAGGATTTGAATAAGAGATGCTGAGAAGAGCTCATTTGGGGTGAAAAATGTAATACAATGAGGATAGATGGCAGAAAAAATAGCTGTTATTATTTTGGCCCTGATAACCAAAACTAGAATTCTGCCATTTTTTTTTTTCAAGGTTTATCAGATTAGGAGCAAGCCATGTTAGACCACTCACTAGTTTTGTGTGTCTAGGGAGAAACAGTGTCAGGGAAAACATTTTCCATCTTTGATAAGCAAATCAGATGATCAGTGGCTTGCAGATTCACCACCCTTTTGTCACTTTCAAATAGGGTTAATAGGACAAAGTGGGAGGACCTGCAATCACAACACTTACATCTGAGGAGAAGGAGCATAAGGAAGTTTTTGCAGCTGTATGATTTTTGTCAGTATCTCCTCTATTAGCAGCATGGGGAATTTCAAACTGAGTGTCTGTTTTGGCAAATTAAGGGCTGTTCTGGAGCACAGACCAATCTCAGTAGTCTAAGATTCCAGCTGCCTTTTGAGGCTTTTGTTTGGCCATTTAATGTGGGCTCCTACGCTTACTGTTCCCGTACACAGATATGTATTGCACAAATCCCACACTCACTTCTCTGTGTAAGTAACCAAATAATCCAGGCTCAACTTCTCGGTATTTTGAGTGGTTGTGCAAGGGAAGAGATGCATCAAAGCTTTAATTTTGCTGTATTAAAACCTTTGTAATTCAGAGATAACACAAACCTAGTACCTTTGCTGATTTATGACTGACTTAGAAGGAAGGACTCCAAAAAGCCTCCCAGTCACCTTTGAATGAAACACAAAAATAATGAAGCCCAGCCCTGTGATATGGCCATGTAAACATTTGCTTTTCCTTGCCACACTCTTCACCATCGTCCCAAATGTTCTAGAGTCTCTTCTGAGGGAAAGGTGAAGTGTGTGCTCAGTCTTGGTCTGCAAAGGCAAACAGGTTTCAGAGCAAATAAAAATGTTATTGATTTTTTTTTGCTTTTGTTGTATCAGCCAAGTAAAATACATATGAAGAGGTAAAACACATGAATAAACAAACAATAATGGGTGAAAATAGACAATCTATACTCAAAAGACAAAATTAGAAAGGTGCACATGACAACACTGGAGATCAATAAAGATTGTGCCAGGTTTCCAGAGTCAAAGACTGTTCTGAGTTCCCTTTAGTTTTGTTTCCGCTCTCTCTCCCCTCCTTTTGGTAGGAACTTCACATGTGGCACCTTGACCCAGAGCAGGATTTTCTGGGAAGTCAGTAATTCAGAGAATTCGCCTTCAAGGAGAAGAAATGTTCAACATCACCAGGATGTTTCACAGGAATGGTGCTTTGTGGCCTTTCCCCCCAAATATTTTGCTGTTCATAGTTTATTTTATGGTAGGTCTTTGAGACCTCTGGTGTGGGCCAGGAACCCACTACGTTTGCTATGCGAACACAAAGCAGCAAGAGAATTCCTGCTACAGACAGTAATACCTTAAATCTAGTGAGGGTGATCGCCTGATACAGACAGAAGGGGGAGCAAAATTAAATAGGGTATAACTTAAGTCCCTTCTGATTTATACTAAAACCTAAAAAGAAGTTGAATGGTGAATATGTATCCTAGCTGGTAGAAGATCAGGGGAGTTTTCTTAATGGACTTTAGAACAGTTTTTTCAAAGGAGGGCAAGTTACAAATAAATGAATTCATTAAATCTCAGGTCTGATTAGATACAGAAAAAAATGATGGGTAAATTTTTGGAGATCTTTAGCAGAAGATGTTACAAAAAATTTCGGAAAAGCTAAAGGTGTGTAGTGTACAACTGAGTGTCCAAACATTTCTCAAAGTCTTGTAGCAAAAAAACTGAACTCTACATATTTACATGCCTAGCTCACATTTGAACCCTTTTGAGGAGCTGGTCCCAACTGCAGAAACTGAGCCTTTGGAATATTCTGACAAAGGTGAAACTGAATAACAAAAGATTATGCAGTTCAGAATACTTGCCAGTTTCTTATAGTTATTGGCCAGTGAACCCTCAAAGTTGATGGGATGAGAACAAATCATGGAAGGAAATCTCACTCCACTCCTGTGTGCATCTGCAACAAGAAAAGATGCTCATGGTCTGGGAAAGTTCTGGGCTGTTGGTGATTCTGGGAGACTAGTGGTGTTTGGTTAGATCCCTGAGTACGGGTTACCTGTGGGTTACATTTTAGAGAGCTGCTTTTGGGGATCTTGGCCAAGTGTCTTCCTGAATTAAAAGTTTTGTGGACATTATCTGGGCTATTGGTGTGCTTCTGTGACCTATCTGTTAGCACTCTATTTCCACTATGCAACATCTTAAAGTTTCTCTTCTATTTTGTCACAGCATTTTCCAACTCATTTGCTTAGACATTTTTTATGTTATGTGTATGTATTCCCCTGCCAGAAAATGATGAAGCAGGTAGAAAACCTGTGTTGAAAATTGATTATCTTTTCTTTCATTTACTTTCCTGGGAATTTTGGGGAAAAAAAATTACCTAGGGCTAGTTGATGATGGCCCCCTTTGCTTTTATCCATACCTGCATAAAGGGCAAGAGGAGCCAGTGAGCTGGTGTGGCTGGTGAGATTTATGTGTTTTTCCTTTTCTGTGAATGATCAGGTGAGCAGCATTGAATGACTTTCTTTCCTTTTCAGTTTTATCTAATGATAAATGGGTTGGTCAGGACAGAAATGATGTCTTACTTTGTACAGTACCTAACACACAGAGTTGTTGTCTTGGTATCTGTAGGTGATGTTAATATGGTTCATAGTCGCCGTACATGGGGACTGTAATGTTTCTTTCCGTGACTGTAGCCTTTGGCTATGCTACTTTGTGTATTCATTCAGAGTCAGCTGCTTGCTAAAAGCAGTCTTTTAGCAGTCTTTTCAAGACCCCAAATAATGAGGTACAGATTGTATTTTGACCTTATATGCATAGCCCAGGAAATGTGTATATGAATGCTAACTAGCATCACCTGGTAAATGTTTTACCAGATTCATCTCTCACACGAAAATCAGTACTTTGTATGCCAAGTCTCAACCACTCAGTAAGAAAGAACTGCTATCCTCCACCTGCAAGAATAATGACATGAACTTAAATGTCATAAAGAGCTTTTTTGCTGTTTGTTTTTATTTTTGTCTTGTATTTTTGAGCCCGTAATTGAAACAGGATGGTAGAACCAAATGAACTCACAACTCTTTTATGAAGGCTGAGATTTCCATCTTATATATCCTGTAAGCATATATATCCATCTTATATATCCTGGAGCAAAGGAACAAAACTTTGATAAGACTTGTAAGGCAACTGTGAGAAACAGTCACGTATTGTATTCTGATTTTGAGTGAAGTGGTTTGGCACTGCCAAAGCCAATTACAGTGATACCTGCAAACAGTGTGACGTATGTTGGCAGAGCTGTTCTGAGCAAAACAAAGTAGAAAGAGAAAATACAGGTACCTGAGATGAGGTTTGTGATGGGGTACCTAAGAGGCAACATAAATCCATCATCAAGTATCAGCTCTGTGGATGAACAAGTTTCTTGAATGGTTCAGTGGCCATCTAATGCAAATATGCAAATAAGTACACTTCAAAAAATTAGGTTAAATTGGGTTTTTGAATGCAAAAGGAACAATTAATAAAAATTTGACATACATTTTTGGGGCAGACAGCAGAGTTCAGAATTTTCCAGTGAAAACTGGACAAGTTGAGATGTGCCCTGAAATCTGATCTTTTTGGGGATCATTCCCGTATGTATCACCAGCTCCTAAGTGCCCCAGCTCCTCTTAAGCACCATGGTGTGAGCTGTTCTGTACCTGCTATTGCTCTTTGCTGGTATTTTCTTCCTCTTTTATGCCTTTATATAAAAAGCATCCCTTGACATGCAACCGGTCTGCAATCTCTTTCTTTCCTAGCAGACAGGTAGAAATACCTTCTCTGCTTCTCCTCAGTGGGTGACCAGATAGGCAGGATGCACACAGCAGCTTTGGAAAGGGGTTTGGAATGTATCCTGTCTCTCCTCTGTG